TATATAAATGACTGAAGATTAGTCAGAGATCTGTGTCAGTTGTACATGGTAGATTAAGAGATATTGATTTTAGGAAAAAACAACACACAAAACCAAACCAAACCAAAACTAAACCACACAAAAGCCCTTCCCAAAACAATATTTATAAAATAAAAGTCATTAAATGGATAGAAGAAGATTTAAGAGGGTGCACTGGTAAAGGGATTGCTGCTAGATAAACCACAAGAAAAAACAGTGTTCAGTGTTAGGTAGATAAGGTTTCACATTGTAAGACTCCTGTTCTCTGACCCACAGTTCTGCATAAAGACATTGGACCTTGCAGAGCAGCCACTATAACAGGAACACTTTCTAGAATTTCACTAAACGATGAAGAGGAGGAGAAGGGACCAAACCCCGAAGGAATGAGCTATTCAACCTTGCCTGGAAATATCATCTCCAAAGTTATCATCCAGCAACCAACAGGTCTCCACATGCCTATGAGTATGAGTGAACTGGCCAATCAGTGTTTGAAAAAAGACAACAGTGAGCTGCGGAGGACTGTGTATTTATGCACTGATGATAATTTGAGAGGTGCAGATATGGACATAGTCCATCCTCAAGAACGGATGATAGAAAGCGACTATATAGTCATGCCCCGGGGCTCAGTAAATACTCAGCCATCACTGAAAGATGAAAGCAAAATGAATATAGGCATGGATACCTTGCCTCATGAAAGGCTGTTGCACTACAAAGTTAACCCAGAGTTCAATATGAATCCCTCCGTAATGGACCAATTTAATATCAATTTAGACCAGCATCTTCCCACCCAAGAACATATGCAGAATTTGCCATTTGAACCCCGCACAGCAGTGAAGAATTTCATTGCCTCAGAGTTGGATGACAATGCAGGATTGTCAAGAAGTGAAACTGGATCCACAATATCAATGAGCTCTTTAGAGGTCAGTGGTGCATAAACAACTTGCATGCTCTGTTGTTCTAATTATGTGATAAGACAATAAATTGTGTCTTGTGTCTAAGGGGTGAAGCTAATGTTATAATTCAGTATAAATTATTGTTTGGGATCATACACTGCTGTTCATATTTCTCTTATTATCAGAAGTGTTTATACCTAGAAAACAAGACTAAAGTTTCAGAGCCAGTCTGTATGAAACAATATAGTTCTGGAGATTTAACATTCCACACGTCTGCAGAGGATTTCGTGACCTACCAGGTAAAGTCCACTGGAAAATTCTGTGTTGCTATGAGAAGAAAAGCTATTCCTGCAAGATACAATTGCTAATCATTGGCCCTACCTGCAAGCACATGCAGTTGAAAATATTTGCCATTTTATTGCTGACAATCATATCTGGCTCAGATATGATATGTCTGATTCTGCTGTCATTAGTGTAAATCTTGGATTCTTCCATCCAATAGTTCACCATTTACTGATTTAGTTTTGTTTGCATGTGTGTGCAGGCATTGGTACAACTGATGTGTGCAACAGGTACAGGTGGGCTTTGTGGGGAGTATGCTACACCCAAGTCAGATTGCAAATATGAGCTGAAAAGCCTTTAAAAGGGTTTCAGTAATTGCTACAATCTGTCTGTGGGATTTAAGCATTATGAAAGTGAAAACTATTTAAATAATTTCTTAGCATCTAAGGTCAAATGCTGCCATTCCTATTAAGCTTTTACTTATGCAAAGCCACCAGTGAGGTGGAGTTAATTTCATACTTGGGCATCCTTAAGAACTGGAAATACATTTCACCAGTATTTCAAATGTTGTGAAACAGCATTTTGTGGGAGAGAGACAAATGAGAAAAATATGGTACATACTCATTTTCTGAAAGAAGTTACAGGTGGAAGAAAATTCTACTGTCTGTGCAAACTTGAAGCCATTACCTATTACCCTACAATGCTTGGACCCGTCTGTGT